AAAATGGTGACTGGAACTGCTGATTTCCTGATGAGGAACAGCTTAGAAGTGAGGTCTCTGAGGCAGTGAGTGCTGAAGTCATACAGATTTCTGTGGGAGAGTGGTGCCCTGGACCTCAATGTGCAGGGTACTTGGTAAAGGTACTTGTGAAAAAAGATGCTTCAGAGAAGGGAGACTGGGCGCTCCAAGTCTGAAAATACATGCACTAGGAGGCTGTAAATATGAGAAACACATGGACATATCAAAGAAGTAATTCTTCCATCTACATAAGTGATCGCTGCGACTCACTGCCACAAGTAATGAATGGAAGATGTACAGAAGAATTTTAAGGACTAGATAATGAGGACATCCTCCATCATGGTGCCTGGCTCAGGCTCTTCTTGCCTCTCCTCTATCCTGTCATGCTTCAGGACCCAGCCAGCCCCTGCCAGAGGGCATCAGGAAGGAGCTTGTCCTGCAAGCAGTGCCATCTACCATGAGTGCTGGGGCATGTTTGTCCCAGCTCTCCAAAGGTACCTGGGGTACCTGGACCCCGCTCTGGTTTGGTATCGCTGTCTCTAAGGTGACATGGGGCCTGCAACCTGCCACGTGCAGGTCTGTGCTATGATGGCGCTGCTCATAGGCTGTGGGGAAGAGATGGCCTGAGTGCGCGAGGACGAGCAAGATCCCCACAGCTCTGGGAGTGTGGAGTGTTTGGAGGCTAGCATCCCCCAAACATGGCAATTCCATGCCATTCGGGATGGCAATTCCAGCAGTCAGCCATGATGGAGAAGAGGCCCAGGCTGAGCTCTGCCTGAGAAAAAGTGCTGCTCTTAAAGGCAATTCTGCAGTATTCCAGTAGTGGCCTGGAGGGACAATGCTGCCCTGAGCCAGTTGGGCCACAGTGGCTGCCCTCCCCCTGCAGTGATCCCTGCCTCCTCTGGCATGTTCTGGAGCCATGAAGGGGCGCTGGGGGCAGGTGAGGGTGGAGGTTTCCTGGGCCCTGTAGCTGCTGCCTTGACCTGCCAGGTCTGAAGGAGTACAGATAAAGCCTGCTCGTGGCCTGCCCCTGCTTCTCTCTTGCTCCCTTGCCTGTCTGTGTCTCCTGCAGAAGCATGCCCGAGGCCAAGTCCTCTTTGACATGGTGTGTGAGCACCTCAACCTCCTGGAGAAGGATTACTTTGGCCTTACCTTCTGTGACTCGGACAGCCAGAAGGTGAGCATGGGGATATCTCTATGCAGGTTGCTCCCTCCCCAGCACTTGACCCTTCACCCCCTCCCTAATGTGACGTCTCCTTGTTTCAGAACTGGCTGGATCCCTCCAAAGAGATCAAGAAGCAGATCCGCAGTAAGTGGCTGGGGAGGGTTGTTCCTCCCCGGGTTTGGGGCTCCCCATTGCCCACTGGGCTCCCAGCCAGATTGGTCCCAGCCATGGCTTGCAGCTTGGCTGAGCCCTCACTGCCACTTGCTGTGGTAACTCTGTGTGCTTGGTAGGTCCCAGATCCCTGGCTGAGGTAGAGAAACAAGGGGCAGAAATACAGCCTGAGGGCCTGGCACTCTGAGGGGGTTGAATGTAGGATGCCTGGGAGAGCGTGGCTGCGCACTGGGCCAACACGATGGCTTAGCTGCTGTGACGGGAAATCTTTCCTCTTTGCTCCTTCCCCTCCTGTCCCTCACCCCACCCATGGTATGCTGTCCTCCCCAGTCACATTGCTCTGTCTTCACTGGGTTCTTCCATGAGCTGATTTGAGTTACCAATGCGGCAAAAGATGATCTCCTTTTTCTGTCAGGCTAATGAGTTAAATCAGCTCGCGGGAGGCTCTGATGAGCTCCAGTGTTGAGCTGACATCAGCACCAGGAGCAGGGAGTGGAGTGAGGGTGGTGGCGAGAGCAGACCTCTCCTTTCTGCTGCAGAGCCCGTTCTGAAAGCATGGGCTGAGCAGAGCCCCCCAGGACCTCTGATTCCAGGCTGCTGGCATCACTGGCTGTTGGAGAAAGGTCCCTCTGACATGTCTCCCCCGCACCTGCCCCAGAGGGGACCTGTGGCAACTGCCCTGGGCACAGGGGTGTCTTTGTCCATTTGGCTGCCTGGTAGCACCTGAATGGTCCTATTCTCTTGCTCTTCCATGGCCATGGGAAGCCTGGCTCTGGGGCAAAGGACCCTGTCTGGACTGTTGGAGAGCCGAGAGTGGGCTGGTCCCTCTGCAGGTGCCATCCCCATGTGCCCTGGGCAGGGAGGATGAAGATGGTAGAACAGGTTGGGGTAGGCTTGCTGGGTCAGGTACTGATGTGCAGGAAAGCTTTTGCTTGTGATGGCTCATGGACCAAGCACTGAGGTGGCAGGAGGGCCATTACCCACAGTGTCACCTTACTGGAACATGTGCAGCTTTTGCTGTGGCAGTGGGATTCTCTTCATGAAGGTAGTTAAACCAAAGCTCCCAGGCTTGTGATATTTTTCTCTCCCAAGCTGTCTGGAGAGAATTAACCAAATTATGCTGGTGTCTGGCTGGTTGAGTGTCCAGAGCAGCTGGAAGTTGCACAGCCTCCCAGGGGTTAATCTTCCTTCTCCCAACAGCTTTTGGAATCCCCTTGTCCTGCCCTGTGTTGGGCTGGGGTGGACAAGACCTAGCCATGGGACTCTTAGGATGTTCCTGTATGTTCATGAGTAGGAGCAAAGGAGATGCCTGATGTCTGCTTGCAGCCAGCATGAGCACAGCCCTTACCTCTCTCTTTGCCTTGCTAGGTGGGCCCTGGAACTTTGCCTTCACAGTTAAATTTTACCCTCCTGACCCTGCCCAGCTCATGGAGGACATTACGAGGTAAGGATGATTCTCAGGCGCTCATCACGCACTGCACAGGACCCACGTATGCCCACTGGGAAGGCTTACCGGGCAACTGCCCGGAGGGTCAGGTGGGAGCGCGTGTTGAGTGTGTGGAGGGGCAGCGCTAAGCAAAGATGTCAGCGTGGGCAGCCAGGGAAGGGGGAGGAGAGGGGATTTGCTGTCTGCCCTGTGTGCAGAGGGTGGGATGGGGATGTGTAAATCGCATGCAGAGCGATGGGTGAGTAGGTCTGATAAGGGGCCAAGAAGGCTGCAGTGGGAGGTGCAAGGGGGCAGTCCCTGTGGGGAGCAGTATGAGGTGGTGTACCTTCTTTGTAACATCCCTCACCGGGGAGCTCCAGCCTGCACAGCATGTCTGCATGGCTCTCTGGAAAGCGCATGCCTTCACTCCCTCTTACCCTCTGACCCCTCCTCTTGCAGATACTACCTGTGCCTGCAGCTCCGTGCAGATATCATCACAGGGCGCCTGCCCTGCTCCTTTGTCACACATGCCCTGCTGGGCTCCTATGCTGTGCAGGCTGAGCTGGGGGACTACGATGCTGAGGAGCATGTGGGCAACTATGTCAGTGAGCTCCGCTTTGCCCCTAACCAGACTCGAGAGCTGGAGGAGCGCATCATGGAGCTGCACAAGACCTACCGGTGAGCCCCAGGAAGGGATGGGGCTGGCCAGGGGCAGCTCTTGGCAGCTGGTGATGAGGGAAGGCACCAGAGTGCTGGCCTGCATCCCTTTGGGCTCCTGGCCACGTTTTCCTCTCTGTCTCTTCACAGGGGTATGACCCCAGGTGAAGCGGAGATCCACTTCCTAGAGAATGCAAAGAAGCTCTCCATGTACGGGGTGGACCTGCACCATGCCAAGGTACTGGTGCTCGAGAGCTGGGGGAGGACCATGGCCAGGGGCTAGGCCCTGTCCTGCCCTAGTCCTGGCACACTCCTCCCTGCCCAGCCCCTTCCTCCCACAGTCGCACCTCTCTTCCTCTTCCTCCTCCTTCTTCACTCCCATCCCACAGCCTGCTGGGGCTCTTCAGTGCTCTGACATTTGGAGACTCCTGTAGTGTCTGTAGCTCCCATACTGTTTGTATACTGTCAGTGCAGTAATGTGGAGAAGAGTTTAAATGTGAAGCCCCTTTTGTGCACCTGGGATGCCCCATAAGCATAAGCACAAAATCTGAGTGGTGCCATTCCTCTCTGCAAGCGAGTCCCATGTATCAGAGCACCTAATGGGAGGGAATATGACACCATAACGTAAGATGGACTCCAGACTGGACTGGTCCTTACTGGGTGGCTGAGCAGTCCTCACCTGTCTCTCTTCTCTCCTCCAGGATTCGGAAGGCATTGACATCATGCTGGGTGTCTGTGCCAATGGCCTCCTCATCTACAGGGACAGGCTAAGGATCAACCGCTTTGCCTGGCCCAAGATCCTCAAAATTTCCTACAAGAGGAGCAATTTCTACATCAAGATCCGCCCTGGTGAGGTGGGTGCCATGGGCTCAATGTGGCCAAGAGCAGGGCAGGATACCTGCTTCTCCTGTAGCAGAGTTGTGCCTGATGGGGAGGTCTTGGCCTTAGTCCAGTCTCTGTCCCAGTAGTTACCAAGTTAAAGGCCATGGCTAGCCAAGAAAACACAGCTCCTTTGGCAATTGGGGATTGTCAGCAAGTGTTTTCTTGTTTAGTTCTCATTTTCTCACTGAAAAAATGACTTTAGCCAGAGGACTTGAGCAAGCCTGACAGCACCCTGCACAACTTTCCCCAGGTTCCCTGGGCACTGTGACCCCATTGGCATGTGGATGTTGCCCAGTAAGGGTATTTCAGAACCATTTTTGATATTTGTCTTTTTCTTTAATTTTCTATAAACATTTTCCCACTTAAATTTTACCCCTTTTACATGCACTTATGGGAGAACACATTTCTCCTCACTTGTTTAGCAGAGGCAAGGAAAGCAAGGAAAGTACATCTAAAGTGGAGAGAGTAAATCTGTCTCACCAAAACAAACTAAAATTTTTTTAATTATTGAGGGAGTGAGTGTCTCTTGAACTGAAAAGCCATTACAGTTGCAGAAGGTGCTTGGACCAGAAGTGTGGGTGGAAGAACGGATCCCTCCATCCAGCAGTGCTGGTCATGGACTTTCTCAGTGCTGGTTTGAGGAAGATACTATTGCATGGCCATGGCTCCTGCTAGGGGAACCTGAGGGTCTTGATGAGGCAAATCCCTTCCCAGTGTGTCCTTTAGCGCAGGATCTGCCTGTAACAGCACGTCTCTGTCTCTCTCAAGTACGAACAGTTTGAGAGCACCATTGGCTTCAAGCTGCCCAACCACCGCTCTGCCAAGCGTCTCTGGAAGGTCTGCATAGAGCATCACACCTTCTTCAGGTGAGGAGACCTTCTCTATGCCTCAGAGGGAGACAAGCTGCTGCCTGTGGCTCATCTCAGTCTGTTCATGTGGGGAAATAGACCTTCCAGTGCTTCCCTTAGGCTTCCTCTGCCCTGTTCTGGAATGAGTCAGCTGTCCTCCTCCCACTCGTAGACTGTGTAGGAGCAGCCCTCTCTGCCCTCTCCCTGCATGCTCAGGGCTGTCCCCTGCCTCATGTCCCTGTGGGAATGGCTACTCTTGACTTTTTTGGGCAGAGAGGAGCTGGCTCTGCTCATCTCTCATCCACAGACCTGTTCTGCCCCATGGAGTGGGAGGCTCTAGGTTGTCCTTCCCTTGTCCAGAGCCATCTCTGCTCCGTAAGGCAGAGGCTGTCTGCTCCACTCTGCCACTGCTTGGAAAAACCTTTTGCCCTCTTTTGCCCTTATCTTATCAGGACCCTAAATTCCCCCTTCATCCCTCCTTCCCCATTGGCACCTTGCTGAGGCAAACTCCTCTTCCACACTGCACTTCTCATCTCTGCTTTGGATCTTCAAGTTGTCAGGGAGGAGGAGCTGGGACTTTGCCCCACATGGCTGCAATCTGTATGCATGCATGAGACAGGGCTGTGGAGGCCAGCTCAGTGCTGTGTGTGGACTTGCTAACTGTGTGTTGCCTCACTTATCCCCAGGCTGGTGTCCCCAGAGCCACCCCCAAAGGGCTTCTTGGTGATGGGCTCCAAGTTCCGCTACAGCGGGCGGACGCAGGCACAAACACGGCAGGCCAGTGCCCTCATCGACCGCCCGGCCCCCTTCTTTGAGCGCTCCTCCAGTAAACGGTACACCATGTCTCGCAGCCTTGATGGAGGTATGCCCCAAATTGGGGAGGGGGAGGGAGATTGGTCTGCTAGCAGGAGCAAGGAGGCTGCTGTTAGGCAAGGGCTGTGTGGGTGAGGGGCAGCTGGGCTCAGTGTGGTGGCCTCTCAGTGTGCTGTCCTGCTGTGGCTCATTTCTGCAGGGAAGGGACTGGCTGGATCTGTCAGGGTTGCTGCAGTCTATGGGATGACTTTTGTAGGCTGCCTCTAACTGGGTCTCCATGGCAGAGGGCTTGTCCCCATCCCAAGTGATGGCCCAGACTTGTGTGTCTGTGCATTAGCAGCTGGGATGCGGACATGGTTGGCTCAGCTAAGCCAGGACTGAGACCTGAGCTGGGCTGGGGAGATGGGTCTCTCTTTTGCTCCATGGGGGATATAGCGTTAGCTCAGCCTGGGTGTGCAGGGCCATGGGGAAGGGTGCAAAGGGCCAGGGTGGTGACAGGTATAAGCTTCAAAGGAAGGGAGAAGAGGCCTGAACTTTGGGGCTGTGGCAGTGTCAGCAAGTCCTAGGACCTGACTTCCCTGCTGCAGGTCCTTTCAGGGCTTCTTAGCCAACTGGTCCAAGCCATTGTGTCAGGGCAGAGGGCTGGAGGAGGTGGGGTGAATGGGGACTGTTGGCTTGCATGTGTGTGATCTGGGCTCTCTTCTGCACGTGCAGAGTTCTCGCGCCCGGCCTCTGTCAGCGAGAATCACGATGCTGGGGCAGAAGCTGAGAAGCGGGATGAGGACGGTGAGTTTGGCAGCAGGAGACGGTCTGAGGCAGAAGATGAGGAAGTGACTACCCCAACAAAAATCAAGGAGCTGAAGGTACAGACCTCATGGGCATAGGACCTTGGAGGCTAAAGGGTGGGCTGTCTCGCGAGGCAGCTCCTAACATGAACTTGCCTAGATCACTCTGGGCTGCCCCTAGAGAGAGGCCTGGTGAGAGGCCAGCACACAGATGTCAGGGATCTGTATCCCAACCCCAGGCTGGGCTGCAGTTAGGAAGGATCACCTCTGGGCATGGTTTTCTAGAGCCAGTGTTCCACCACAAGGCTTGATGTGGCCCCTTCTCTTGCCCTTACTAATGGGAATGGGACTGTCACAGCAGCTCAGTTCTGCTTTCTGTTGCCCCCTGCCCTGAAGCAACTCTTCATTCCCACAGGGCCCTGCAAACTATCTCACAGTTCAGCCCCAGGCAGAGGTGGCCAGGCTGGGTCTGGGAGCAGGGAAAGGGAAGGACCAAGTGTGTCAGTGGTCACCACTGTGCAAGCAAAGAGCTCCCTGCCACAGAGGACACTGGTTGGGCCTCTGTCCATCCCTCTGCTCTCCCTGCGTCCTTGCAGAGGCACAGCCGCACGCAGTGCTTCCCTCAGGCACATCAGACACATGTTCTCTCACCCTGGTGGACACGCAGCCATGCCCTATCTGTGTACTGCCTTGGCCACCCAGGCTGGATCAGAGGGCACCGCAGCCCATGTCAGCCCCTAGCCCTTCTCCCCATGCTGAGTAGGGAGCAGGGTTTCCAGTCCTTCTGTGCTTATTCATGCTGATACCAGTGGGGCCCTGCTGTGAGTCCTAGCTGTGAGACCTAGTCCCCAGACAATAGGTCCCAGGCAGGCCCCATGTAGGCGCCTAAATTCAACTTGACTGTGAAGTTTGTGACAAATTCCCTGGACTGACCCTGCTGGTTGCTTTTAACCCTCTCTTTGCTGCCAGCCGGAGCAGGAAACAACCCCCAGGCACAAGCAGGAGGTATTTTTTTCTCTGGAGTATCTTAGTCCTCATCGGTGCATCATATTGTCCATCTTCCTCAGAGCAACACTGTGTGTCACCCTATTTACTGGAATACAAGATGCACCAAGGCAGGGGGACTGACCTGCTAGACAAATCTAATGGGCAAACAGCTGGGCGGTCTAGCACCAGAGCACACGAAGCATCTTCTATCCCACTAAGTAAGGCAGTCTTCATTCTGTGTGTGAGCAAGAGCCTTCCCAAGGCACAATGGACAGGCCACCATGCTGAATCCTTGGCCCACTGGGAAGACCTGGCTTCTGCTCATGTTTCTGACTCATCCATGTTCTCTCCTTGTGTCTCTTTGTCCAACCCTGTGGTCCTAACTGTCCCACTGAGGAGACAGCACTGGCACAGAATAGCCCTATAGCTCCTACTTCACGTTGGAGCCCTGGCTTGGTGTTTGCTTTTGGGTTTCCTGGGTTGGGGTCTACATCACTTGCCCTGAACGTAGGCTCCATTTTCAAGAAATACCTTTCTCCAGCAGCAGTTTGCATGGCTTGTCTCCTTAGAGAGCTGGGGTCAAACAGCAGAGCCAGGAATGGCAGGGATCTAGTCTCAGCTCTATCACTGCCTTTCTGCCCTGCCTTGGGCAAATAAATCCCAGAGATTCCTTCCGCATCTGCCTCATCTGCCCATCGAAGACCGGCAGTGATATCTACCCATTGTGCAGTGGAAGGGCACTTGGACTGAGCTTGGCTAGTCTTGCTAGAGAGGGAAGCTGCAGAGCAGAGAAGCGAGAGGCTGCACTGCAAAGGCTGCCAGACCCTCTCACAAATTACCTGTGTATGTGGTAGTCCCTCCATCAGAAACAGCTGGCAGAGATCGTCTGACCCGGTCTGCGAATTCATTCCAGCCTAAAATTCAGAGCTGCTATCAGAGAGATTTCTTCTTTGCTTACAGTGGGGTTTAAATCGTTGCTTAAGCTATTGATGGAGGCAGATGTAGCCTTAGTGGTCTGCTTGCAGTGCACAGGCCCTTGCCATTCCCACTCAGCACAGCAGGGAAACGCAGCCAGTGTGGTGGGTGCCAGTGTCCCAGAACTCTGGTTTCTCATCCACCATGGAGCCAGACTCCTGGTTGCGTTCCCTCCACTGTCTGCCTCATTGCTTATTCCCGCTGCATGTGCATGTGCTGTTTCCTGCAGTCCTGTGCTCTCTGACACTCCTTTGAGCCTAGAGGTGGGCAAGCCATGGGGTGCATGCTTCGGATATGGAGATGGACTGGGGGAATCTTTGCACAAGTTCTGCTGAGCCTTCAGTATCTGAAAAATTTGGCTGGACTTTTCACGAGACTCCTTTGAATCTCTGGTCTGTTGCTGTGACAGCCAGGAGAAGTAATGGGGAGGGAAGATAGTTTAGTTGACTCCTTTCAAACCTCAAAACAGGTTTGAGCTTGAGGCAGAAGTCAGGATGGATTCTTTTTCTGAGCTGCTTTGCCCACCCCTAGGGCAGAAAAAAGGGAGGTATCCTAGAGCCTGTAACATTGCAAAAAGATACTCTAAAGCCCACATCTCAGCTTGCACTTGAGCTCTCTGAGCTGTTTTCTCTATAGCAAGCCAGACCCAACCCCACCCCTGGACTTGTGTTGGCCCTGAGTTGGTCCGTGTTGATTCAGGTTTGGATCCATGTCGGACAGCTTTGACTTTGGTTTTGCAGAAATCCACTTCTAGGGAGCCCTATTATAAATGCCAATGGGAGAGTCCCAAAAATTTTTACTAGGAGGACTGGCTACTCTCCTGCCCTGCCGAGTCAGAGGCTCTTGGTTCCTTCATGCCTTGCAGAGCAGCGTAGCCTGGAGAGAGCTGACTGAGATGAGGCTGCTGGCATTTTCAATAGGGCCCAGCCCCTTGCTGATCTCAAGGAACAGCCAGCTCTTTTCTCCCACCTGATTTAGCTCATCCTCAACATGCCATGCTCGAGATGCCAAAGGGGCATGTTTTGCCCTTCGTAGAGGGAAATCAGGTGTGTCCATTCTGCCACTCACTGCCTTTTTCCTCCTTCCTGAAATATGGACCTAGTGAGAGTCACAGACCAGGGTTCTCGGACACACAGTTCAATTGCATCTTGAGACCCTAAATGTGAAGCAAATCCTCCCTAGTGTTCCTGCTCTTCCCCTTTGCCTTAGCCAGTGCTTTAATCGTAGCTACCTTCCTCTCTCCTTCCTCAAGTTTTTAGATAAGCCAGAAGACGTTTTGCTAAAGCATCAGGCCAGCATCAATGAGCTGAAACGGACCTTGAAGGAGCCCAACAGCAAGCTGGTTCACAGGGACCGGGACAGGAGGCTGCCTTCCTCACCAGCCTCTTCCTCACCCAAGCATGAAGATGAAACACCAAAGGGAACCCCAGAGAAGGCCAGAGAGGTTTGTTCTGCTACCTGTTTTTTGGAGGGGAGCAGGTTGTTCATCAGGAGGTGTTCATGATTTGCTGGATTCCAGGTCTCTGTTTACCATGCTGTCCAGTGGGAGCATGGTGGGATGTGACCATGGGAGTTATGTGGGGGCAACACTGGGTGGAGGGAGAGGGCCTCTGACTGGGGCTGTTGCCGAAGTTTTGTAATGAGCTAACTGGTTGCACGCTGCTGGTGCTGATCTCCCGTTGTGCCCAGGCACTGCATGGGGTCAAACTTCTCATCTGTCTCCTGGGGTCTGTGTTTTGGGAGTGCCTGGGAGTTGGGCTGCATGTAGCTATGCTGGTCCATGAGACCGGGGCCTTTCTCACCCTGGTACTACCAGCGGTCCTGCTTGGGAGTGCCCAGCACAGGTGTTCTCTTACAGACACAGGGAGCAAGCACTTGCACAGATGGTGCCCCATGGCACGCTCACAGGCCAGGCACCCGTGTGGTGTGAGCAGCAAGAGGGACAGACACATCAGGCTAAGAGGGCCAGTGAGGTGAATGGCATTGTGCTGGGATCCTGCACACCCATCCTCTCCTTCTGGTATTTTATCTGCAGTGGGGCTGGGTTTGCAGTGAGATATTCTGCACTGAGAGTGCAAACGGAAGTTGTCTAGGGGGCTGGAGCTGAGGACATTCCCCCACCAGTGAGGAGAAAGGGGATGAGCTGCACAGAGCCCTCCACATCACTGCTGGAGGAGAGAGGGATATGGTGTGGTGTGGATGCTGTGCAGGGGTGGGCTCTTGGGTGGCTCAGCCCATGGTGTGTGTGGCAAGGGTGTCTCCCTCCCATCCTGACTGACAAGAGTGCAAGACCCTCTCTGCTTGCTCTCCCCACCTTGGCAAACTCTCCAATGCAAGGGCTGCAGAGCTAGCCCAGTGCCAACACCGGTTGGCACAGCTCCAGAGCTGGATGGACAGACACCACAGACAGAGTGCCACCACTTCCTGGCTCTGTCCTGGGAAGGTCTCACTGGGCAAGAGAGAAAGCAGGGATGCCCTGCTAGGAGTGGTGCAGGGTCCTGGGAGGGAGACTGGGCCAGAAGGGTCTCTGCGGGGAATTTGTGATGTGCACATCTGCTTGCTGATTTCCAGCACTGATTGGAGATACAGGGCTGGCCAGTCTGGGGCTCCCCCCAGCCAGTGTGGGGAGCGTGGGAGCAGAGGTGGGCTGAGGGAGCTCGCAACCCCTCATTAAAGCACTGAGTTTGGGAACAGGGAGAGAGGCTTTACCCTGCATCTGTTTTACAAGCAAACATGTAAAGTTCAAAGACTTAAGTGGAGGATCGAGAGCTGGAATATCTGTGACCTCTCTTCATCCATCCATCCATCCATCCATCCATCTATCCATTTGTTCCTTCATTCCTTCTCATGTGCTCTTTTTCTCTCTTTCTGTGTCTTCTGTCTTTCTGTCTCTCTCTTTCCCCAGAGGTGCTGGGGTTTTCCTGCTGCCACAGAGGATGGAAGAAGATACCCTAGAGGATTTTTCATCTGAGCATGGAGCTTCCCTAAGCATGGAGTCTTTCACGCAGAAAAGCCTTATCTCCTCTCCTGAGGTTATCACCATCCCTTTTCTCTTCCCACCCTTTGCTCTCACTGATTTGGACTATGCATAATGCCTCTCAGGCGAGCATGGGTGGTGCTTGCCCCGCAAGCAGACACCAAGCTGTTCGCTGGCACCCTGAGCGGGTCCTCTCCATGATGGGCAGGATCCCTCACCAGGATAGGACTATCAATGAATATTGGTCCCATGGCTGTTTTTTCCAGGCTATGAGACAGGGATTCCTGGGTAAAGTACCAGTAAAGTACCGCTGTGCAGTTGTGGGATAAGCTGCCCAGAGCTGGCTGCGCTTCCGGCAAGGGAGCAGAGCTGTTGGCTGCTGCCAGGGGAGTTCGAGGAGGCAGTGCTGAGGCCCAGGGTGCAGGGCAGTCTGCATGTGTCCATCTCATCTAGGTGCAAGCAGGCACCCAGCTACAGGCTGTCTTTAGCAATCCCTTATGCTTTCCTTTGACTTCAGCTGGAGTTACTGTTGCTCAGGCCCAGGCACCCAGAAATAGGGCATCTCTGGATAGATTAGAAATGTTTGACTTCAGCCTGTGTGAAGCGGGGTACCCCTGCCTTTACTGTCCTTTTGTAGTGCCTGCCTTTGAGGGATGTGGGCTCTCAGTACTGCTTGCATTCAGGGCTTTATAGCTCTTACATGACAGTAGTTGTTTCCTAGGGCATCTGAGAGAAGATATTATTGAGTGGAAGAAAACTGGGCTTTGAGACTTAGTTCTGATGTGGCTGGACCTAGCCATGTTGAAAGCTGATGCACAGCAGCGATGGCATGCTTATCCTGTCTAAGTGCCTGAAAAAAGACAGCACAGCAAAGTCAGTGTCAGTCCAGGGCTGGTGGCAAGGCAGGGGCTGTAGGGGCAGGGAAAGGATTGGCTCTTCTCTGCTGCTCCCCATGATCTCAGGGGCTATTAATACCAGCTCAAGTGCACAGCTGTGCACTGGGCAGGATGGCCAGGAGTCCTCTGTGCAAGCCAGGGGCTGTTTGTTCTGGGGGGACAAGGTAGAGGGAGCATGGGCAGGCCTGACTTGCTGACCCCTCTGGGTCCAGTCCTGTTGTGCTTGGGGAGGGCTGAGCTCACGGCTCCAGGTGGTGGCTAGCCCATGGCTTGAGCCTGTTCCGATAGCTAAGAAGAGTACTTGGCCCAGCGCAAAAGTGCCTGGTGTTGCCAGGCTATACCCTGCCAGGGTGTCTGGATCTAAAATCTGGGCTAGAGTACATGTCTGCAGAGAGGCAGCATGGGTGCGAGTCAGGACTTGAGGAAGGCCTCAGGCTTTATCAGGAAGGACAGATACTCCTTTGGTGAGACTCAGGTTGTGCAGCAGCATCTTCTGGTCTGTGCTGTGACCCTCTGCCTGCCGATATTTGAGGGTTGCTGCAAAATTCTTGCAAATGTCAGTTCTGTGCACATCTGTAACGACAAAGAATCTCTGCCAGAGCTGGGCCCCACAGCTCCTGGACAGAAACAGCAGAAGCAAGGTGAGCATGCATGTGCTTAACTTGGGAAGTCCTCCTCTCTGCCTGCTGGAGGTACCCAGAGTGTCAGGGCTTAGTTGGGCTGCTCAGGCACTGAACTGGGCTTGCCTTTGATTTCTCACCATGTTTTGGTGGCTGAGAGTCAGCAGTTGATATACAGCCACTGTGATTTTGTCCTTATATGACCTGTGTCTTCACAGGGAATTTGCGTCCCCAGTGAGAGCTGCTCAGGCCATGCGTGACCAACACCAGGAAGTTTCTGTGCTCATCGCATGGTCTGACTTTCTGTAGAGGAACTGTACTGCTAGCAATGGGGTTTTCCTCTGCCTGGAGGAAAAGAGTGCTGGGTTTTAAGATGACTGGAATCTCCTTAACTTTGGGTTGACAAAGCAATGCAATATGTTGTCTCACGAAGTAGGAGTAATTCATGCTTCCCTCCTTTCTATGAGGCTATTGCTTTCTCTCAAGCAAGTTGAGTCTCCCCAAGGAGCGAAGGAAAATGGCAGATATAGTGGAGGATGATAAAGGGAGAAACCTCCTGCCTGCCCCGGGCTCCTCCAAAGTGTGTAAGCGTTGCCTGCAGCCATCAGGTGCATTTGGTTCTCTCTGCTTCTTTACTTTCTGCCTGTTTACCATCTCCTGTGACACATGAAAGCTACTGCTGATATGTCCTTCTAGCCACTCCTGATCCTTGGAGCAAATCCAGTAGGAGAGATGTAAAGAAAAGGCTTAAAAGTAAATTATCCCTTGGGAAGTCAAGGCTGCTCTCTGGTCAGACTCTTTCCAATGTCATCATTTCTTAGACTCAGCTATTGTCTTGGCACACACTTTGTCCTGCTGGCCTACTGATTGCTGTTCTGAGGTTTTTCTTTCTTCTGGCAAGTTCTCTTCCAAAGCTCCAGAAGTTTTCTGCTTTGTTGAAGGACATATCCAAGTATCCAGATATCTGCAGCAAACATCCCCAGCAATGCTCAGGCTCCAGAGATTTGTAGGCTGCCAAGAGCTGTGGCTTTGAGCTGTCTGGAGCAGAGAATGCAGAGCACTTCACAGAGTAGTTGACTGTTTCCATGAAGTTGGCTGTGCTCCTATCAACAAATTTTTTCTCAGCTCTGAGGAGAAGGAAGGTGGTTCAGAGATAAATCTGGAACTTTTGGTCTCTTCCTTCCTGGTTCAGAGGTGTTGCCATGGATAAACATACTGTACCAGGCTTCAGAAGACTTATCTTAAGGCTCTCAGATCTACAGCATTTATATGGAGCCATGACTCCGAGCAGGAGCCAGAGCAAACTCATCTTCTTTGCCCACGGAAGTACTCCTCCAAAGGACCCTGGTTTCCAGCCGGAGAAAGGGGAGGAGGGGATTTTGCTTAAGGAACTTGTGCTTGTGCCTATGATCTGTCTGTCCTTAACTTAGCTGGTACAAGGATTCAGCGATGAGGCCACAGTGCAGAAGCAGAGGAGAAGCTGCTGTACTCTCAGGGAAGCAGGCAGTCCTCTGGTTGAATAGACCATTTGCATCCCTAGTAAACTGGGAGGCCGGTGTTGAGGGAATGCCAGAGACCTAAGCGGGCTTCCTGGCAGGCCTAGGAGAGCCAGGGTGCTGGTGGTAATGCTGCTTTCAAGGGTCGAACTCGCCTATGAAAGACATAGCCACAGCCTAGTGCTCCTGGAAGTCACTGACTGTCTCTCCCGTGACCAGGGAGAAACAAAACCTTCATGAGGAGCTGGCGGTGGAGGCAGGTGAGAAGGAAGGGACCTGGGGAACAGTCAGCATTTGGGAACATGGGATAGGGTGAGAAGCGATATTGAGGAGGCTTGTGCAAGCGATGCAATAGGGCATCACATGGGTCTCCTGGAGGACAAGGCTCCTCAACACTGGTGCTCAGGGCTGCCTGGCTGTGGCAGACAGTGGGATGCCAGATAACACAGCAGAGC